AGGAGGACTGATATTACATAGCAGTTTCGTAATCTTTTCTATGTTTCTAACGAAACGTTCTTGTTTCTTAATACTTTTGGAAGGAATCTTTTGCTGTTCCATTGTGGTTTCCGTCTGGGTAAGACTATAAACTACATCCAACAGCAAGGCTTCTTATTGGGAGGTTTTGTGGAGAATGGAACCACCATCTTAATTGATGGTGTTTCCGGGTCCACCTTGACCCGGGGTGGTAGCACCTGTTAGGGTCACAGCTATGGGCAAATAGTTAACCTCCAACCTGGGGTCAAAACACTATGAAAGTACAACAATAGGTTTTAATACCAGCAATGAATTTTTGAAGAAAAAAAAATTACCAACAATACATTTTTGGAAATAAAATATTACAGGCAATAAAAATCTTGTTGGCATTAAATAACCCATTGAGATTGATATGCCATAAAACAAACTAAACCCATGCGCCTTCGGATGTCAGTATTATGTAGATATATTCTGGGCATTTTTGTTAAAGTTGATTATTTTTATTAATAACGTGCTTAAATATTGTTTTCGAAAAACCCCGCTTGTTGTAAACGCATTTTGTCATTACAGAATTTATTATTTACAAATATAAGTAATTTTAATTATTGTTAGTGGGATGTCGCTATAGCTTATTACTAAGTTCAGATAAAGAAATTTTAATCAAAGTAACTGCTTGTAATCTACAGTTAATAGAGGTAGTCTTTTTTTTTTTTCTTTTAGCAGAATTTTTCCCTTCAATTTAAATATTAAAAGTTACTCGGAAACCAGAGATTTAAATGAATTGCAAATTTTGGATCATTTTAACGATATTGCGCTGCGATGTGTTATTTTTGCTGTGATAAGGTAAAAAAAAACACGCTATCAAACATGCAGAAATGGGATAATTCTGATTTAGCGCGTATTCCTAAGCCGTTTTTATTTTTTTTTTAAATTATCTTTTGTCAATTTATGCATATTCAAAAAACTAGATATTTGTTGAAGTTCATAAACCTTTGGCACATGAATCCGAGGTATAGCCACGGACTTACTTATTTTAAATAATGACAATATTCTTAAAATTTAAATTACACTTATTTAAAAGAATAGCCTATAGTTAATCTATAAAGATAATCTTAAGTATTTAAAAAAGGATTTTGTATTTTTTAAAGTATTGCTACAGTTATCATAGCGCCTCTGTTATTGAAGAAAAATGAAAACAAAACTTAAAAACCATTATTTGGCCTATAGTTTGAGAAGTATTTAATCCTTAAGTTTATTAATTTAACTGGATTTTGTAAAATCCTTTACTAAAAAAACAACGAAAATAACGTTTATTCACGCAATATTACCCGTAAGGTGTCATCAAGGCTATATAGATTATCGTCATATGCACTTAAAAGAAAAAATCGCGTTAAAATACGAGGGGCCAAAACTACTGATATTTATTTAAAAACAAATTCTCTAACCTTATATGAATGCGCATTGAAATATTTACTTTTTAAGCTTCTGTACAAGAAACAAAAAATGATATTCTTAGAAATATTTAGCGATTCTTCAAGCGCATTTTTATTTAATAGAAAAATCTGTTGCAAATAGCAATTTGGCAAATTTCAAAATCACACTGAATACTTACAAATTTAAAAAAAAATAGATCAATGTAGATTATTTTTCTCGTTAAATTTGAAAAATGTTTTCTGCCATCACAAACATTCGATAAAAAAATTATGGAACTTTATTGAATTATTTTTGAATTTTCAGTATCTTTTACAGTTGATGTTGCATAATTTCTTTATTTCTTATATTTTAGATTCTTTGATTTTCTGAAATATCTCCAAGGATATTCCTTTTTTTATAGCGGTAAAAGTATCCCCCGATTTAAACGTGTTTATGATATAACGAAATTTGTGGGGTAAAAAATTTCCGAAAATGTTTCGAAAATGACTTTCATTCGTTGAAAAAGTGAAAATTTTAAATCCGTTAATTTACTGAAAATATGGAACAACTATTTTGCTTCTATAAAAACTGTGTTGTGGGCCGGTGTACGCGTTGAGAGATAAATACGTGTGTCTCCTGAAATGCCCACAACCAACATGGCGGACGGAGTATGAGTCCCCCTTAAAAAGAAAATTTGTAAAGAAACTAGGATCAATATATATATATATATGTACAAACAAATGATAATGTATTAACAAGAGTTTTATACAATAGAATATTGTTGTTACTGAACAATGAACAAGAAGAAAACATTTAAGCTAGTTTGCGTATGTATAGTTTGGTGCTGGAGAAAATCCTAGAAAAAATGAAGTGAAAGATGCGTAGTACGTATGTGTGTATGTGTATTCTTCATGCGTGTTCCAAAAAGGGAACGCGTTCTTCCGCGAGAAATTTACATGTTGATGTATGTGTGGAAAAAAAGAGAACGAGGACAAGAATAGCTATCGCCGAGTATTTATAGACAGGAAAGCGTCCCCTAGTAGCGGTTTCGAAAATTAGGAGTGTGCGTGTGAAAAATAAAAATGAAACCGTTAATATATGTACATAGGATTAATAGCCGATAGCCAAGCTAACACGGAACGGTTTTGCAACTTTGCAGGCACGTATTTTGGTTGGGTGGACGTGTTGTATCAACGTTACTGCAACATTGCTATCACCCATTTTCCTGACCCCCACTAAAAAAAAAATGACCGCTTACCCCATCGTTGTCACAAAGGTCTACCTACCTACCCACCTAGCTAGCTAAAGTTGTCTACCTACCTACCTACCCACCTAGCTAGCTAAAGTTGTCTACCTACCTACCTACCTACCCACCTAGCTAGCTAAAGTTGTCTACCTACCTACCCACCTAGCTAGCTAGCTAATGTTGTCTACCTACCTACCTAGCTAGATAATGTTGTCTATCTGCCTAGCTATCGATCAATCCTTTTTGTAACCTCATTTTGTTAGTTCGGAGGTACTAATAACTTTTCGACCGCCATCAAAAGGCAGGATTTCAAATACTGATTTCTTTTCAACAGGTAAGTATTTCCCTTCCAATGTGACAATATATTTCTATTAAACTAAGCTTACTAAACCTTGTGCTGATCCATTCATTTCATTGCTCCAACATCCGAGTGTTGGCAACAAAAATATGTCGTTTATTCGTGTAAACAATCGTTAATCACTGAATCGTAAGTAAATTTTAGGTCAGTTGTTCGATTAAACATATTTCTATTTAACGTGCGTAAAAGCTATTACTACCTCGTTTAATAAATAAGGTTGACGTTTGTCATAGAATTATTTTTCAGATTTAGCGAAGGTTTTGAGAAACCAGTATCCTAATTTTTAAAGAAATACTTCAATTCAAAACAGAAGTAGCAATCGTTCATTTTACAAACCTAGTAATCGTTAGTTTTATCATTTCATCCTAAGCAAGGCAATAAAGCCACTAAGACGTTAGAGACTATTAGAAAAATCACTTAAGGGGAGAAAACAATAGAACAGGAATTAGCAAATCTTAAGTTGGCCCAGAAGAAAGAAGCAGGAAGAGTTCCACATGCGAGAAGTGCGGTAGAAGAAAAGGTTAGCATAGAACTTACGGTTATATCTAACCGTTTTAACTGTAAAATGAAGAGACATTGACACCAATCTAGTAATGCACTTAAATTCATAGTCTAGGTACTCCTTATTGATGTGTCTTATTTGATGAATTGCATTTTCTATGACCAGTTGAAGAGTTTTCCAGAAATATGATTGCTTCAGAAATCATTTGTTTCTTCCCACCCGGTGAAGATCCTTTGTTGGGCGTAGGCCTTCCCCCACATTCATGAGGAGGAATAGGCCATTACCCATTCTCGATATTGCAACACGCTTGGGAGATCCTGTCTCTTTTCGATTATCACTCAAGGATATTTTCATTAGTGAATCCGAACCCGACTGGAATTTAAATTCGGCTTTCATATTTCTCATACCGAGCCATTATTCATTATATCACCCGCATGTCCAGGTTTACAACACTTGATATTCCTAAGCTGTCACTCATCTAGGTATTGAGTTCGGCTTTGGTTAATTTCGGTGATTAAACGAGAACCGGTGTTTATGGCCTTAAATTCTCAAGAATGTCATGAGTAACAATAAAGCCTTAAAGTTCCTTGAAGTTAAAACTTTTCTTTCTACCTGCAATCAAAGTCCAATTTATATTCAACACGTCAGTGATAGAAAAAGCTCATTAGGTCAGATCTAGATGCAAAGCCATCGCACTCTTTGGAGGAACATTTCCTTGATTGACCTTATCTTTAGTGGGTGTAGTCTTACTTGCCACGCTTGACCAATCCAAGTGCTGGTTGGTGAGCCTATTTAACTTGCAGTTGGAGGTTTTGTATACAGTTTTCCACCTAGGCAGGTTGCCACCTAAAGCAATATGACCCAGCCTGTCCTGCTAGTCAGCTCATAGCTGGGGAGAGGAGGAGGAGGAGGAGGAGGAGGAGATGGGCTTAAGTTAATGTAACGAACTCTACTGGAATTAGAACTCTGTTCTCAGATTCCTCAATCCGAGACGTGCCTCAATTATTTTCATACCTTAAAAAATAAATCTTTTTTTGTAAGACAATGTTTCTTTTTTTGAAAGTTTACAGACACGAAAATTAACCCTTTTACTTTGGTTTTAACTATTGTTTACATTTACACTTGATCTTTCTTATCACGTTTCGGGCGCTGCGTCCTCCGGCCTTCATCAGATGCTTATCTGGGTAAACTTCATTTGTTGATTGATTTTTCTACGATTTATCAAGCATTTGTAGGTTATTTAGACATAAAATATTTTAGATTGTAATTTTTATTTATTTATTTTTTTTTTTAGATAATGGTTTCATGATATGTCTTATTAATTAATCTACAGCTTGGGGGAGAAGAGCTCAAATGTATTTACGCGCAAGTGAATAAAACAAACCTAACGGGAATTGGAACACGGCTCTTCGATTAACCATTCGGAGCCATTATTCATTACATCACCAGCATATCGAAGCTCATAGCACCTGGAATTACCCAGCGGCCACCCATCGTGGTACTGACCAGGGTGGACGTTGCTTAACTTCGGTGACCGTACGGAAACCGGTGTTTCAACGTGATGTGGCCATAAGTCCACCTGTAAACTCCAGGGAATTTCGAACTGAACACTTCATTTAATTTACGGAGGCAGAATTTTCACGTTCAGCTTGATGTTTACTTTTTATTCGGATCGACAAGCATCTGATGAAGGCTGGTGGGCATTACAGTCGAAACGTTGTCATAACCTGAACAAAACGAGAGAATAATAGTTCGACTTCACTATTTATTACCTAAGAGTAGCAATAATTTGAACTAGAAATACTCGTGAAAATGTCATGGTTTTCATATTTTAATTTTCTGATGAATCTTAAATTAATGCTTGAATAAGTTCATATGACAATAAAATATCCGGAGATATTTACCCATCGGTAAATATTTGAGCTTAACAGCTTTAACAAAATATTGCAATAATACCCATAAATATGAATGCTGGCCGTTATTTTAAGAAGTAAGGGGGTACAAAAATTGAAAACTTTTCACTTAACTGAAACGAGCATTAAACACTCATTTTCCCACCTTTCATTTTCTCGCTAAAACTAAATAGTGTCTTTAATCTTCTTTCCGTCATTTCATGTGAACAAAAAGAATAATCCATTATTTATGAGGTATTGACAGGTCGTGCTAACTAATGGAGGGATAGGCAGAATCGTAAATGTAACTTCTTTCCCCTCCCCTATTTATCGACTTTTAATAAGTTAGTCGTTAAACTATAGGATTCTCTAATAAGAGAAACTACGAGACATTTTATTTCTACCAGAAATGACTACCATTGTTTCATAAGGCTCCATTGTTTGCCTGTTTACTATTTTGTCCTTGAGATGCCATTGCTTTGTTCATTCCTATTGATACAGTGACTAAACCCACGACCTCAAATCGTCAGGACGACATATATTTAGCCAACTGAAAACAACTAAATATTTAACTAGTCACTGTCCCGAAGGATGTTAGTGTAGTTTTGGAACCTTTGATATTCGATTCAGATGGTTTCGAGATTATTATGACGGGTTGGTATCGCTATTTAAATTTTCAATTTGAATGTTTTGAGATGGGGAATTGTTTATATATACTTGAATTATTTCAACACAGTAGAATCTTCAGCCTTAGTTGGAAACCAATCTCCAAGTGATAACTCTAAATTCAAAATCTGTGCTTGGTGCTGTCCCGTGGCGTTTCGTTATCAGTCCTTCCTGGAAAGTGTGCATATCTGTGCACAAAGCCTTCAGCACTAAAATCATGTGTAGATAATTCTGGCCGTTCGGTTCTTATAACTATATTGATACGTCGTAATGATTTTTAAATGATTCTATTATTGCCTCGTTTAGTAAGTTGCCTATCTAATAGGGCATCGTTTAACCAGACGTGGATCCTTAAACATGTCTGTTATTTGTGAATGTTGAATATATGTAAAACTGATTTGACAAACTCATTTATTGAGCCAGTTAGTTATGTGCCATGCCTGATACATGGCTTAGGCGATCATGTATATTTCGGTACATGACTGACGAGGCAGATTTTTCCCGCAGTAGGTTGCCATTTCTTTCTGGGGTAGACCAGTTGCCATCCAAGGCTATAGAACCCGGTCTGTCCTGCTATTTACCCATAGGTGGGTGGGGGGAAAGAAGAGGATTCATACTTTTCCTAAGGGTATTAGCACGTAAGTGAATGTAATGGATTCACTGGTTTGCTCAATCCGAGCCGCTATTCATTACACCGTAACCTCACCAAAATGCTTCCTGGCAGCTGCCCGATAATACATTTGCAACATTACCACGCCAGACTTGGATGCCATTTCCGTCAGTGTCATTACAAAAGTGGACTCGCAAACTGACATTTGACGTTTTTGCTAGGGGTAGTCACTGGTCTCTTGTTAAAATGAATGCGATTAGTTTAACTTGTCATCTTTTTTATTAGAATCCATTTAATCTGTAAAATGGGATTTAAAATATTTTCGTCCCCTTTAACACTATGCAGTGGATAGTAAGTCTGGGTGAGAAATCGGAGAGGTCTAGTTCTCTACATTCGCACAAATATCATTGAGGAAAGCATGACTCCATCTTTTTGTCTCCCCTTAGCTATGTGTCAAATAGTAATGCAGTCTATGCTTTGTATCCTTGGTGGTAACTAGTCTCATTGGAAAACTCTGACTACAAAACCGTATGTAACTCTGGTGAAGTACAAATTCAGCTAAGGAAAAGATCGTTGAGTTTACACTGACACTGAATTCGACTACGGCTGGCCTCCTACTCCGGCTTCCTACTCTCCATTCCTCCGGCTTCCTACTCTCCATTCCTCCGGCTTCCTACTCTCCATTCCTCCGGCTTCCTACTCTCCATTCCTCCGGCTTCCTACTCTCCATTCCTCCGGCTTCCTACTCTCCATTCCTCCGGCTTCCTACTCTCCATTCAACTTAGCTTTCTTTTCATGAATTAAGTTGAAAATCTCCTCCCTTCCCAGACATCCTTAATGGGTTAAATGCGAAATTTAAACTTTTTTTTTTTATTTTTGGTTTGTAGAAACTAAAGGTAATTTTCTAAAATTAGAAATGTGGAAGTTTTGTTGTAATCTCCCTCTTAGGTGAAAATAACATTAATAAATTTCCGTAATTGAGCTGAAAATCATTCAGCGGACTCAAAAACCACAAATATCCGTTTTATTGTGTCTATTAAATGTGTGAGGTACTGTTTTCAAAGTCCCGATATTGGACAGATCAGAAGACCTTGCGTCTCTAGAGCTGGTCCAAGTAAGGAATGGACACATTTCACAGCCTGATGGCATCAATACGTCGTCACCACGAAGTCTACTGGTAGTGACAGTCATCCAAGTGCTAGAATGCTGGCCAAAATCCCTCCTGAAAGAACTTACACATTTAGTAGGGAACAGTCTCACTTTGAAATCCGAAGAGAAACGAAATGTAATTTTAAAAAATAGCTGTTTGGAACTAAAACTGTGATAGCTAAGGTTCCGCAACACAATATACACTAGGGTCGTGAGGATCCTGTCTGGCGCCTTCCTGATTAAACTGAAGTTTGTAAATTGTCTTTGAAATTTCCAAGCTGTGACTACGTCTTGAATTACACGGAGACAGTTATGGACGCGTGCAAGAGGCATAACAGGCCGTGAATTAAATTTCTTATCTGCTTCATGCAACAAACCAGGAATTATTCTTTGAGGGAACATTTTAGTTCGTTGAGATGAAGGGGTCCGGGAATCGGTCAGAATCGAATCTGCTTGACTCTCGGCTTCCAAGAACAAGTAAAACAGGAAACAGTCTGACGCGAAGACACAACGCAAAAGATGTTACAGTTAAGGGAGATAGCTGTTTGGCATCTTCAAAACATCTAAGTATACGCGCACGCGCATATATATATATATATATATATATATATATAATATATATATATATATATATATATATATATATATGTATGCATGTACGTGTAAATATAAATATGTTATGTATATACGCATGTGTTTTGGGGCATAGATATAGTAGGTCCTTGCTAGATTAAATATTCGTTAATTTTTGTTTATATTAAATTTGTAACCTGTAGTTGATATTACTTTTGTCAAATTTTCTTGATTGCACAGCGGCTTTTTTATAAATGCCCCTCGGTTTCAGTTGACCCCCCCCCCGCCCAACTTCCCCCTTTTTTTTTTTCTCTCTCATCTTCTGAATTTTAAGTTTAGATTATATCGTCTTTTATTGTGCGTAGGGTCACCACAAATGTTTACACTCGTTTCCGGTATCGGTTTTTAAATTAATTTAGGTCAGCGATTCAGTAATGAATTATGTATCGGAAAATAATTATTTATTTGTATCTCACTCATTTCAACCGCCATTTAGCTCTTCTCTTTAAAACTTCTCTCTGTTAAATTTTAATCCCCACCTACACTTTTACGCCTTCCTGTTCTTCTCTCTCCTATTACCCCTCTCTCTAGAGCTTTCATTTACCTCTAACATTTGTCCCCCACTCTCATACATACACTCACTAAATTTTATTTTTTTATTCCCAGAGTTATTTTTTCCGATTTCTTTTTGAATTTGTAGGTATGATGAATTGGATTGTGATTACGATTCCAATGTAATAAATTATAACCATGGAATATTAGTGTTTAAGCCTTTTTATTATATATATATATATATATATATATATGTGTGTGTGTGTGTGTGTGCATCCCTTACTGCAGTGCTTCGTAAACTTTTAAGATCTTTAATGCATAACGATATTTTACGATATCCTAAGTCAGAAAATATTGAATTCCATTTTTTCATTTATAGTACTACTCAATTATTTGCTGTCCAATTTCCACGGGGTCTAAGTAAACACCGCCCGACCTAAGGATTGAACTCTTAACCACTGTCACTTTCAAAAGTAACTTGTAGCGAATTCTTGAAAATTTGGCATCGAGGGGTTATCAAATACCTGCTGAAAAAGGGTTTAGCCCTCAGGGACATTCATGCTGACTTGGTTACTACATTATGGGATGATGCTCCAGCTTTATCCGTTATGACGATAAACTACACCCGGCAGCTTTGATCGGGTGTTTTTGAGGAGCGTGGAATCACCTCTTAATTGTTGTTGTTCACCCTGACCCGGGGTGGTAGCACCTGTTAGGGTCCCAGCTATGGGCAAATAATGAACTCCTAACTGGAGTCGAAACACTATGAAATTATAAAAATACATTTTTCTAGTAAAATTATCAGCAATACATTAAAAAAATACTAATAGTACATTTTTTTAAAGAAATTACTAATGCTCTCAAGAAAATTAAATTTCCGCATTAAATGACCTGTCTCCAGTTATGAAAATGTCGATGAATTAAACCAAGACAAGCATAACGTTTTGTGTTAAGGCTGTGTAACTTCGTTGGTTTTTGATGTTTTTTTTTCTTTTACTTCAGATTTCTTTTTGTCTATGCCGACAATGTCTTTTTCAAGTGAAATATGTAGTTATCTAAATATTTTAGTAATTAAAAATGCCCGTCTATATTTCTGAGATGAGGTATTATGTACACTATTTACATTATTCGGACTATTGTCCTCATCTTTGTCGCCATATTTATTACGTTTCGGCCGTTGTACGTTTCGGCCTTCTTTAGGTGTTTGGTTCAGGTGCCATGTGTCCTCAAGGACACATGACAGTGGATAAATGCGTTAGTTAGATCCAGTGACAGGATGAGTGAGTGTGGGTTCAATACCCGGTTAAGGCAGTGGAGAACTTGGAGAGGGGAATTAAAAGGAGATTAACTGACATCCATTAAACATGGCACGTGGAACTAGAACAGTATACCCCAGTGAGCGAAAAAAGGGTTCAGTTCAACATTCCAACCACCTGAAGAAGGCCGGAGCGTACAACGGCCTAAACGTTGTATGGCGACAAAGATGACAATAGTCCGAATAATGTAAATAGTGTTAAAAATACCCCTTGAATATTTGTACCGTCTAAGACAGTGTCATTTGATTCGCTTTGTTGACTCTTTGTGGTTTATTTAAAGCCAGAGAATATTTCTAGATTGTAAAAAAAAAAAAAAAAAAAATTATTTTTTGAGATAATGATTTAGCGATAGAAGAGGTGGGGGTGGGGAGGAATAGATTAATACCTTTCCCAATGGTTTTCTACGCGTAAGTGAATATAACGAACCCAACTGAAATTGAAACTTGGCTCACTGATTAGTAATTCTGAGATGATTATCCATTACACCTGCTTACAGCACTTATTCCAAAGCGGTCACCCATCTAGGTGCTGACCAGGCTCGGCGTTGCTTAACTTCAGTTGATCGTACGTGTGTTTCAACATGATATGGCCGTAAGCTTTTGGGCGAAGAGGAAAGGGAATTTTCGTACATACGCTGCAAGTATATGGCATTTCTAAGTAAATTCCTAGAATCATAAGAATTCCTTTAGAAAAAATCTTGACATTGATCAATGCAAACTGGGAAGCGAGACAGTTTGTCGGGGAAAAATGTTGATGGGTTAGTATTATTGAGGAAAAATGGGATAAAATAAAATCTTGACCTCCAAAGTGAAGACCCCTCGTTGCTTCCTGCCTGTCAGGGCCGCCTCGACTTCTGTTTCGGTCGTCAGTAATGATCTGCAATATTCGTAAAGGTCTATGCAATATTTTGCTTTTCTTTTAAAATTAATACAACCTTTTTTCTTCTTGAAAATTGGAGATTTAATGTGCATTTAAAAATCGCCTCAAGGCAAGTGTTTATTTAATTACTGCTTACATTAATTTATAGCACAAGGGGAAGTGTGGGGAAGGCTGGTCGTCACTGTCTTGCACCTCGCTAATCTGATTCTCGACAAATCCATTCTTACATTTTACGACGAGAACTTCATCACCGTCCAATCCAACATATACCGCAAATTTCACAAGAATCCTAAAGAAATCCATGACATAAAAATTTAATATGTACAAAATGTATTTTTTCTTTAACAAAAATATATAAAAAAAAGACATGAAATGAGGAGGAAGTGAATGAACCCAAAAAGATTCACGCCAAAATAAAATGTTAGTAGGACTCGTCCATCTTAGCGAAAAATGGCCACTGTATTCTGGCAATAAGCAGAATGAAGCAGCTCCCTCGTTAGAGGGTGAAGGAGGGACTAAATAAATTACTGAATGACAAATTCAAAATCTGATCCAGTCAAGATAAAGAGTAAAAAAAGAAATTGTGGAATATGGTTATCTTTACAAGAAGCATAACAAAAGTGAATGATGGGAACAGTCTTCACCTTTCCTTGTATTTGCGAAAAGGTATAATAATGAAAGCTTTTTTCGTATTTAATTTTAATTCCAATTTAAGGCATCAGACCTTTTGTATCTTTTCATCTTGAGTTGATGTAGCAACTTCTGATTTAAATTATTTTTATTTTATTTTTTTAAGATGGTGTCAGTTCGACCAAAAATGGCGACGTTGCCGTTAAAATCAAACCGGATAAACCTGAAGAACCGGAAAAAACGCCTCAACCAAAAGTTGGATTGTTCGAATTGGTAAGGAGTAATTTCTCAGATTAACTTTTTTTTTTTTTTTTTTTTAGAAAAAGTTTCAAACAAAAATTGTATTGATTGGAATCGATTTTTTTGTTAAAATAACTGATTAGCGCGTTTTTTTTTTTTTTTTTTTTTTTTTTTTAAGTCTTTCATCTCAATGTAATTCTTTATTAAAAAAAAAATCTTCCAAAAATAAAATACTTTTCTGAAACTTTGAAGATTAGCTGGTTTTAAAGTATAATTAATCTGATTTGAAACAAATATTTTTTACTTTTAAAATACCATAGAAATGGATTTTAAAACCAGACAGTAGCAGTGTTTTTAACTGACAGTAGCCACGTTTGTGTCTGACGAGCGATGATAAGTGATGTCAGATTTATTGTTGTTTTACGGAGACTTTATCTGTAAAACATGATTTAAGAGGATGACGGGTGAAAGGCATTTTCTATAGTTTTGAAGTACTAAGTAATCTTAATGTTGGAAAATATTTTCCACAATGTCATATTAGGAATGTTGACTTTAAATTTACTATAGGCATCGCTCTTATTTTCTGGTAATGTCATGTATGGTCGCCCATAGTTTCAAAAATGGGCACGTTTATATACGTAAAAATATTCAAAATGAATTAAAGAAAAGAAAAAAAATTTGTATTCGATGAGGGCTTTGTCATTTATTAGTTTATGGCCTCCGAATTTTGGAATGGCGCTACAGAATCACGAAGAATTCTACCAGATAACAGATCACATTACTTAAGAATTTTTAATAGCAACAACTAAAATGGATAACACGTAACTCAAAGAAAAAATGTTGATATTTCATACGAACTCAAAAAAAGGTTCCACTTGATTGTCAGTACGCTTTAAAAAATATCTTAAAATTATTGATATGCGTAAAATTATATAATTATCTTTCAAGTAAAAGCAATATTTTATGAAAAAGACGTCTAAATTATTTTATATACTTTTATTTATGTATTTTTTAAGGTGAAATTTTGGTATTACCTAATTACTGTGATAAACAAATTGCCCCTCTCGACTGTTTTGCTTTTTAAATCATGCGCCACACACGCTACGCACTTGGCCGATCATGTCTTTTGATTTATGACTAGTCAGGTTTTCTGCAGTAGGCTGCCTTTTCTTTTCCCTTTTAGACAGGTTGCCAACCAAGGCTACAGATCCCAGTCTGTCGCTTTTTTTTTTTTTTTTTTTTTTTGGTAGTCTGCCAACCAGGGCTATATATCACGAACGTGACTGAAATTCGAACTCTGCTCTACAAGTTTTCATTCTCAGTCGTTATCCATTACACCACACAGCACATCATTGTTTAATAAAGTGAAATATTTCTATTTCAGTTCAGATACGCTGATAAAATAGACGTTCTGCTTATTGTGATTGGCACGATCGCAGCAATTATTCATGGCGCCGGTTTCCCTGTTATGATAATTGTATTTGGAGACATGACAAACTCTCTTGTTAACATTGGAGGACAAATTAGCATGTAAGTTGCGATTTTTCAACATAATTATTGACATAAATATAATCAGCTTGGACGTAGCACTCACTACTGAATGACGACAGTCTGTTTGAAGTTTAAACGCAATCGTCATGGCTTTGGAACTGCGTTTAAGCACGTGCCATCATTGTATTGATAATTATTGTTACCCTACTTATGTTTAGATGCGCTCTACCCTTATACTATTCGTTAAATTTCTGCTTTTCTTTGGGGTGTATATATATATATATATATATATATATATATATATATATATATATATATTCTCAGATCAATTCTGTGTACAAGACAAATTAGTATAACAATGACAATTGCAAAAAAAAATCTTAGTTTTTTGCCGACGCGTTTCGTCTTCCGACTTTTTCAAGGCAAAATGAAATCGAAATGTCTTTGTTATAGTTACATTTAAAAGTCCAAATTTAATAAGATAGACGCTTCTGTCTAAGCCTTTTTCTGGTTAATGTAAATTTCCTTTATACTAAGATTTCTTTTTCCCTTTTCAATTCTGTGGACAAGATTAATTGGTATAAAAATCTCTCTCTCATACACACACACACACACACACATATATATATATATATATATATATATATATATATATATATATATATATATATATATATTCCCAAAAAGATAGTATCCAGGTAGAACTCAATGTTCAGGACAGAGTAAGAATATTTAAATGGCTTAAATGCTGTTCGATAGGGCGACTTTTAAGCTACTAAGATGCAAGCGGGGTTACTGAGAGTGAAAAAAAAATTAAGGCATGGCGATTGACGTGGTATTTAAATTTTTGAAGCTCGTGTATGACAGGGAAATACGATACCCATAAAGCGGGTTTCATACAAGGGAAGTGTGAGAGAAGAATGTAACTTAGGGTTATATCTTGGCTATTTCAATAGTAAAATCCTCAGACCTTAGCTGTCAATTTAGTACTACGCTTAAATTCATGAGATCGTGGTACCAAAGTTCGTCAAAAAATATAGTCCTGAAAATATAGAAAAGGCACAGGGAACCTATATTACGGCGGTGGGGAAGTGACTGATACAGATGCTAGGTCAGGACGAATAACGTTGAAGTTTCTTTTTAGTTTGTCATGGATATTCCATGTACAATAAATCATAAAACTGCAGCTCAGATAAAAGTTGTTGGTTAAAATTGATGATTAGTTTTAAAAATACAAAAGTAAGCTGGACTTTTATTTTATTTTATTTTTTTTCTTACTAAAAATAATTTTTTTTCTTGCCAAAGATAATTACAATTATTTTATTTTTCTTGCCAAAGATAATTGCCAAAGATAATTACAAATTTTATTTTTTTGCAAAGATTTACAATTATTTTATTTTTTTCTTGCCAAAGATAATTACAATTATTTTATTTTTCTTGCCAAAGATAATTACAAATTTTATTTTCTTGCCAAAGATAATTACAATTTTTTTTTTTCTTGCCAAAGATAATTACAATTATTTTATTTTTTCTTGCCAAAGATAATTACAATTATTTTATTTTTCTTGCCAAAGATAATTACAATTATTTTATTTTTCTTGCCAAAGATAATTACAATTATTTTATTTTTCTTGCCAAAGATAATTACAATTATTTTATTTTTCTTGCCAAAGATAATTACAATTATTTTATTTTTCTTGCCAAAGATAATTACAATTATTTTATTTTTCTTGCCAAAGATAATTACAATTATTTTATTTTTCTTGCCAAAGATAATTACAATTATTTTATTTTTCTTGCCAAAATTACAAATTTTACAAAATTATTTTATTTTTTTTTCTTGCCAAAGATAATTACAATTATTTTATTTTTCTTGCCAAAATAAATTATTTTTTTTTTCTTGCCAAAATAATTACAATTATTTTATTTTTCTTGCCAAAGATAATTATAATTATTTTATTTTTCTTGCCAAAGATAATTACAATTATTTTATTTTTCTTGCCAAAGATAATTACAATTATTTTATTTTTTCTTGCCAAAGATAATTACAATTATTTTATTTTTCTTGCCAAAGATAATTATTATTTTATTTTTCTTGCCAAAGATAATTACAATTATTTTATTTTTCTTGCCAAAGATAATTACAATTATTTTATTTTCAAGGACCTGTATGAACAGTACATCGCTTGTCTCCGGTAATAATTCCTTCACTTTACTTTCTCAAATGGAGACATTTGCCTATTATTACTTGGGTAAGTTTTCACATTTAGAAATTCGAAAATTGTCAATTGACACAACTCTCCACAATGCCGCTTTTCAAATGTTATCGCAAATCATTGTCATTTGTTTGTTTTATAATAAATAAAGTTGACTTGTCCTTTACTGTCCACAAAATTTATTTCCGACGTGGAATTACTGTTAAAAAAACAAATCACTTTGATACGTAGTTCTTGAATTTGACAAATTGTAAACATGTTAAGTTATAAATTCGATCGATTTTCTTTATAGCGATCTTGGCATTGATTCTCATTAACAGTCAATTGACTAAAATCAAAATCAATTCCCCACCAAACGTAAAAAAAAGAAAATGGTTCATGCATCAGAATTGTTAGATTTCCAAACAAGGTCAACTCGAAATGAAGTTAGTTTTACTTCTATCAGTAAATTGGTCTCAAATCGAACCAAGAACTGCTGTTCCAATTTTTTTTAATTTTATTTCGTATTCTCCTTTCCATTTTTCATTTCTCTTGTGTTTCGTTCTTCTGTCAATCTTGTTGTCCCACGGAAGTATCTTTCCACCCACCGTCCTTGTATTCTTGGAGTCATCTCGCATGCTTCGGTTAAAGTTACGATTACATTATTTATTTCCTTTGTTTTTTGTTTTTTTTTTCCAGATTTTGGGACATCATGTTGGACTTTAGTTTATCACAAAATTCTGTACTTACACCTTAATTTTTAAGGGGTTTACATCTATTTATCTTTTGTGAGATCGGAAGTGAGGTATTTGATTGGCTGGTGGTGTTAGTTTAGTTACTAGAAGTCTGTGATAAGATTCCAAGTAGGACTTGTCTACTTTAATCTGTCACAAATCACCTCAGCGATGTATCTGAGATGGTGAAATTAGTCTTTTTCGTTGCGTTATATGGGCTCTGCCATGTCATCCGGTATTTCCTAGCATGGTCCGAGAATATTTAGCGATGGTGAATTATTTTCAAACCATTTAGTTCTCGAGTGGCTATCATAGTTAAGAATGGCTTCCAAATTTAAGGTTTTTTTTTTTTTAATCTTAATCCTTGCTAGTATACTTGTCGTCTGACTTCTTTTTTTTTTTTTTTTATATAGATGCGATGTAAGTAACTGAAGATAAAATAATATTTACTCATCGGAAATAAATGAGAATTATGCTTCAGCAACTGAATGTTATTCATTTTGTTCAACTTAACATTATGGAAATAACTTTCCGATCAATTTTCTTTAGGTTTGGGTGCTGCTATGCTTGTAGCGGGCTATTTTCAAGTGGCTTTTTGGACAATGGCTGCCGAGAGACAGACATTCCAGATTCGTAAACAATTAATGAAAAGTATCCTGAGACATGAGATGGCTTGGTTTGATACAAACGATTCTGGAGAACTAAACACTAGACAAACAGAGTAGGTAGAGAATTTTTTAAAATTTTATTTCTTATTGATGTCAAATTATTTTAAATGTTTATTTTTTTTTAAAGGTTTTTTGTAAAGAATATTAATTGAAAGCATCATGCTGGAGAACAAAAATCGGACATTTTCAGCTATACACCTTAAAACTATAAGTCTACTGAAAAAAAAAAAAAAGCCCCGAACAATTTTGGCAATGATTCGGTATTGATTCTACCACGATAAAATCTCGTCAGTTTTTCTGAGTTTCAATCAGTTTCATCATTGGCTTTGTTTATGGATAGAAACCGACTCTTGTGTTGGCAGTGAGTCCCCTACTAGTGGCAGCTTCAGGTTTCCTGGTTAAGGTACGAAGTCCATTGTGCTCCTCACCCCTCAAGATTTTTGACAAAAGAAAAATATTACCAGAAAAAGATTTTTGACAAAAGAAAAATATTACCAGAAAAAGATTTTTGACAAAAGAAAAATATTACCAGAAAAAGATTTTTGACAAAAGAAAAATATTACCAGAAAAAGATTTTTGACAAAAGAAAAATATTACCAGAAAAAGATTTTTGACAAAAGAAAAATATTACCAGAAAAAGATTTTTGAAAAATATTACCAGAAAAGCCTTTTTTTGACAAAAGAAAAATATTACCAGAAAAAGATTTTTGACAAAAGAAAAATATTACCAGAAAAAGATTTTTGACAAAAGAAAAATATTACCAGAAAAAGATTTTGACAAAAAGAAAAATATTAAAAGAGAAAAAGAAAATTTTTGAGAAAAAAACAAAAAAAATTATTAGAAAAAGATTTTGACAAAAGAAAAATATTACCAGAAAAAGATTTTTGACAAAAGAAAAATATTACCAGAAAAAGATTTTTGACAAAAGAAAAATATTACCAGAAAAAGATTTTTGACAAAAGAAAAATATTACCAGAAAAAGATTTTTGACAAAAGAAAAATATTACCAGAAAAGATTTTGACAAAAAAAAAATTAAGAAAAATATTACCAGAAAAAGATTTTTGACAAAAGAAAAATATTACCAGAAAAAGATTTTTGACAAAAGAAAAATATTACCAGAAGAAAGTTGTCGGCATTAAATGACCCATTGAGGTTGATATGCTGTAAACCAAACCAAACCAAAAATATAGAATTGCAGGGAGAAACTGTTTTATTCCTTTCAAGAGAATATAAATAACCTGTTTACTGATTCCATGGTTTTAACGGTTACACACCCATCATTTTTATTTTTGCTGATAAAAATGTCTATGGTATTCTACCACGATAAAAATTAGTCGGGAAACGGAAGGAAAGTATTTTCAATTTGGTCCGCACTGGTATTGGGTGCGAACAAAAGTTCATAGCTTTTTAAATGTGAATTTACGTAGATTAATTCAAAAACGTATCTGCCATTTTGTTTCACTAACTTGTACAATGTTTGAGACAACTTCATGACACCGTTAACTCAGAATTTTGCATCTTATTTGAAAAGCCTTACAACGCTCATATGAGATGTGGAGTACCTCTGAGATGTCCCGTGTTATATAGCGTTTCTATTTGGTCTTCGACTGAAGGCTTGTAGCTCTTAATAAATTTTGCCTTTTTTGATATCTCTCCTGAACCAAGTCCTGCCATCCATCCAAGCTCGCTAGCTATTTTTTGATCTCTCTCTCTCTCTCTCTCTCTCTCTCTATCTCTCTCTCTCTCTCTCTCTATATATATATATATATATATATATATATATATATATGAGTACTAAATTTTCCAAACTTCGTGATGGTAAGTATAAGAGTATAGGAGAAAATGTAATTGAGCATAGAATGTGCAGCGCCAGGGCTAGTCTCACCCAACACACCAAATTGCTACGAAGCGAAAACCATAACCTGAAAACTCGTCAGATCGAAACATTTGTATGGATGTCATACATGATACCAAATCCATTCAGAAATATATAAACTGTCAGTTGCATACAACCAATTTCTTAGACCAATAGCGAAAAAGGATATCAGCAATGGTGAAAAAGGATAAAGCCTGATAGCACATGACCCCTCCACAAAAATGTGAATACGATCCCTACCTCACCTCCATACAAGTAGGATTGTTCCTTGTGTCGGCTAGAGCTCCCTCCATCTCTCTCTCTCTCCCTCCATCTCTCTCTCTCTCCCTCCATCTCTCTCTCTCTCCCTCCATCTCTCTCTCTCTCCCTCCATCTCTCTCTCTCTCCCTCCATCTCTCTCTCTCTCCATCCCTCCTCTCCATCTCTCCCTCCTCTCCATCTCTCCCTCCTCTCCATCTCTCCCTCTCTCTCTCACACACACACATGTGGCTTGTAAGGTTGATTTGTATTTGAAATCGGCGCGGACCGTTGGCAATTGTTGTATGCCTTTATTTCTTTGCATTTCGAAGCGGGGTGTATCATCTCGGGTGGTGTTCCTCCAATGCTTGCGATTTGTGGCATCCACCTCTTAGATTTGATGGCCCTATTAAACTAGGGGTCGGCAACCTTTTATTAACTATGCGCCGACTTGGGGTTTTAAAATCATTCAGTGGACAACAGCATACGAATTTTTCTAAAAGTCAATATATTTTATATAGTAATATATAGTATATATACTTTAGTATATATCAAAATTGGAACAGCTAAATATCTTATTGTTAAAACATACATTTCGGAAAGCCTTTGCAATTTTTGATCACCCTTGAGAAATAAATGAATAGGAGTAATTTTTTTTTTTTTACTCTGATTTGGAAAGGACGTTTCTCTCTTTTTTTAAGCAGTTCTCGCGTTTTCAGTTTACGCTTGTCTCACGAACTCAATTCGATTGACTTTTTTTTTTTTTTGTTCCGTTAATTTGAATTTATAACGTATACAATTCAGCTTAATGTTTCATTTATTTTCCAAGAGTGGTCAAGTGTTCCCGGTTGCATCTTTGGCTATGATCAGAGTCGGGATTACCAACCTCCCTAGTTTGGTCCCTTTTTTCATCTCGACTGGGTCGGCTTTTATATTTCCTATGCGCGTATATATTTCTCCTTTTTCCTCTCCCTTAGCGAGAGAGCTTGATTTTGTCCAATGGGCAGAATACAGCAGCCCTTTTTTTTTGTTTTTTTTCAGGGTTAGACGGTCCCTACTAACATCAGCTATGTTTAGTTTTTGTGTTAATATTTAGTTTGTTATTGAGTTCATCTCCCTCCCCTCTCATTCTCCATGATTAGATTTTTATATATAATAATTTATTATCATTAAATTTTCATGGCATGGGGCGCGTTTTGTGGGTCTCCCCTGAGAGGATGCGGTATTATGGTGTATGGAGGATTGATTGGTGACGGGCGAGTTTTTATGGTGAATGCGGAAATTGTAATGTGTGAATGGGTCGTGAATCAGATTAGCTAAGTATAAGATAGTGATGACCAGCCTCAACCCTCCCCCTTTTCGGCCTTGTGCCATAATTATGTATTTTTCATAATAAATATCAGTGACCAAGGATTGCAAAAGCTTTTCGAAATGTTTCACCAATGGAATCAAGCGTTTTTACAATTACAGCTAAATATCTTTGCATTGTTGTAGTTATTGATTCGTACCACTGGAAATTGCTTGGCACGGCACGCGTGCCGTAGGTTGCCGACCCAAGCTACAGACCGCCCCCACCCCAATGTTCTCTTGCCCTGATTTTTTTTTTTTTTTTTACTGTTTATGTTGGCGCTTTGTCACCTCGAATGCGGACGTCAGTGGTAAGAGATACGGCAGTGTAGCTTCACTTTGTCTATGCCTCGGACATACGTTATTCAGCGCAAGCGTTGTCCAATGATTATTCTCTCTATACTTCAGCTGTTAGCCCGTTCGAGCGCCTTGATATTCGGCACGTGTTCTTTCCACCTGGTGTTCAGGATAGAGAGGAGAATTCTTCAATGGGAGAAAACTTTTTGAGTCGGTTTCACGTAAGCAGCACATTGCAGCTTGGATTCGATAAAAAGAAGGTTAAATTGTGTTTTAACTTTTGTATTGATACCTTTTTAAAACTACACCTGAAATATGCGACGTAAAGCTTTAAAACAATAGATGTTAACTTAAAAATGGATTAATGCCAGAACAGGAGAAGCTGTTTCTACTAATACCACATAATATTTATTTTGTTGAAGTATATTTAGTTTTCTTTTTGTTATTTGGCAAATCAATCAACACAATTGAATTTTAAAAATTCATTTAAAATCTCGGTTGTAGGAAAGTCATGAAAGAAGGTATAAATTCGATTTGTAGGTTTAAAATAGAGAATATAATACATTACAAATATTATCCCCCCCTTTTTTAAATAAGTAATATCTTAACCTATCTTAAGTGATAAGGAAAAATATTTAAAAGAAAATGTTGGTGATAAAAATTCAACATCCTTTTAGTATGTCGTTAACGCTTTCCTCCTTACATTAGTATGATGAAAGAAATACTGGCATACAGCGGCGTATCAAGTTCGAGATGGACACAAATTATATAGCCAGAACAAACTGACTTCGATAGTGGGTGCAATTTTTGGTCACGTCGCCGTCTTAATCTTTTTCTCACCAACGCTAATCGTTAATAAGATCTTGGAACGACAATCTGGTAGGTATAAAAAAAACAAAACAAACAAAAAAACAAAAAACAGAAGCTGAGAAATAAGGAGAAACGAATTTCATTCTTTTTTTTTCTTTTGCGATAGATAATTGTAATTCTCGTATTGATGATTTTATTTTCATTTATTTTATTTTTTCAGCGATATCAATAAAATTAACGCAGGCCTTGGAAATAAAACTGGTATCTTTGTACAGTGGTTTTTCGGAGGTTTAATTAGTTTCATCATCGGCTTTGTTTATGGATGGAAACTGACTCTTGTTGTGTTGGCAGTGAGTCCCCTACTAATCGCAGCTTCAGGATTCCTGGCAAAGGTACGAAGTTGATTGTGCACCTCACCCCCCTACATCGAGGTAAACAGTTATCCTACCCTGGGGAGATAGTATAATTATAAAGGAATGACTATTCTCACCATCTTCCATCGTTGCGTGTCACTGACAAGATATTTTGTTAAGTTATAGAATTGCAGGGAGAAACGGTTTCATTCCTTTCAAGAGAACCTGTTTACCGATTGCATGGTTTTAACGGTTACACACCTCGGCCCACATAATTTTTATTTTTGCTGATAAAAATGTCTATGGCATTATTCTACCACGATAAAACTTAATCGGGAAACGGGCGTAAAGTATTTTCAATTTGGTCCGCATTGGTATTGGGTGTGAACAAAAGTTAATCTCTTTTTGAATGTAAATTATATGTAGTTTTGATTCAATAACATATCTACAATTTTGTTCCATTAACTTATGCAATCTTCGAAGCAACTTCGACTCCATTAACCCAGGACTTTACATTTTATTTGAAAAGTTTTATATTCCCTGGTAATAGGAATATATACTTGAACCCCCCCCCAAAAAAAAACAAACAAAAAAATGGTGGATAAAATAAAGCAAGCTTTATTGTACAAAACCAGTAAAATAAGAATAAAAGTAAGTTATGCACAAGGTCGTCGCAAGTCAATCCAGTAGTGAGTGCTACTATTGGAAGGTCGGGAGTTCTTGTGTAAGTCTGAGTCGTACTCAACAGATCCCAGCTAGTAATATTTACCAACTTTCCTACGGGGTAGGATGTGGCACAAGGCCGAATTAAATGTGGCGCAATCCGAGGCTGTAGACTAGGCCAAAAATTCTCCGTAAACCCCGAATAAACGGGTTCGGGTCTGTCTACCTCCCCGAACGAGACTCTGCCCTTCGACATAGCCTCGTCCGGGTTCCTCTCTGCCCGACAACAGCCAAGAGCTGTGTAACAGATCTCAGCTAGTATATTTAGCTACCCACCACGAGTGTTGCATGTGGCACAAAGCCGGTTTAACGTGGGTTCTCCGAGACAGTAGGCTCCACCAAAAATATTCCCTTTTGAATCCGTATTCTACCTCCCCGAACGAGACTCTGCCCTTCTGCGGAGCCTCATCCGGGTTCCTCTCTGCCTTCGGGCAGAAAGTTCGACTGGTTAGCTGGGAAAGGCCTGCAACTAAAGTCTGTAGTCCGTTGACTTACAGATACTTATAGGAAGTTACTATCTATAGCGTAGTCACTCATGGGGGTGACAGGTTATTCTATTACATCAAAAAGCCTTTTCATCTTTATTGTCATTCACGACGTTTCGGCCGTTGTACGCTCCTGCCTTTCAGTAACCGAAATTTCCAAGTTTTTTGCTCATCTCTGCTGTGGCCAGGTATTGAAGTCACAACATTTTGGGTCAAGTCATCGGATTATTTCAACCAACGCTTTTATCCACTGGCCCATGTGTCCTTGGGCACAGTCTACTCCGGTTGACGAAATAAAAAAGGCCGGAGCTTATAACGGCCGAAACGTCGTGAATATGACAAGGATCAGGACAACAGTCCGAATAATGTAAATAGTGTAAATGGCTACAATACCTCAGAAATATAGCGACTCTTTCTCGTATTGAGAAAGAATTGGAGGAAAAGATAATGGAACCTGGCAACAATACTGATTCATTCCATCTGTGCAGTTCAGTATAAATGTGCATGAAACCTGTTATTGCTACCGTGTGTCTCTACAAATTTATTTATGTGATTAGGGCGTGAAAGAATATGGTTTCAGAATATAATCTCCAATGTTTGTAAATTTCAGGTCGTTAGTTCCATGACTGATAAAGAGCTTGATGCTTACGCCAAGGCCGGGTCTGTAGCCGAAGAAGTACTGAGTTCGATAAGGACTGTCGTGGCTTTTAGTGGAGAAAACAAGGAGTATGAAAGGTGGGCTTTCGATGCAGGTCATCACTTTTTTTTTGTTTTGTTTTTTAGGGGGCTGTACAATGTTTCTGGGTAAAATCAGATTTCTGATATTCAGCAGATTTAATTTGACAAAAAATGAAAAAATTACTCAGTTCGATACCAAACATAACAATTCATAAAAAATATTATTTACAGCCGTGGTTTCAAAACCTTTTTGGTGTTGCTGCCCTCTTGCGTAGCAAAATGCCCACCACTGTGTTTAGTCACTTTGATTCGATTTTGTTAGTGCCAGTATTGCATGTCAAATAAGTATCTTAGTATTTCCCATAATGATTGTTATATAAATGGGGTACACTGTCATCTGAAGGCAAAGCTACACACACACACACACACACACACACACACACACACACACACACAGAGTACCTGAAGTGTATGTTAATGGTTCATATGTGCCACCGCTTGCCTATTTTTTCACACCACCCCCTGGATATTTCGACCATCCCAGGTGGCGGTACTGTACATTTCGGGAATCCTTATGTACAGGATTTCACCCTGAAGATGATTTTTTTTTTTTTTTAATCTGTCTATATTTCCAACCACCTGAAGAAGTCCGGAGCGTACGACACCCGAAACGTTGTGATAAATATGGCAGCAAAGATGAGGACAATAGTCCGAATAATGTAAATAGTGGCTTTTTTTTAACACTGTGTTCGTCTTCGGCCTTTAAATTAACCGAGGAACCTCAAAACAGTTTGAGAATTTTTTATATTAAAAAAGAAAAACCTCTGGTTACAGGTTGGCAAACAAATTCTGCATTAATTTCCACGAGCGTCATTTCAGTTTTTTCGCGCCATTGCACAGATTTGTCACACCAGTTTACTGGGGCTGGCTGCTATATCGGATCCTTTCGTTTAAACCCAGTAATGGCTTCAATAAATACAAGAATTACTTCTCATGGTATAAAGCTCAAACTTTTTTGTCATGTCGCACCAGGATGTAGATAATCTTTTAGACTTGTTGC